ATTTCGAAATAACTGTGATTGTGATACATTTCGACCTCACTCATTTTCCTCCCAAATCCGAAAAGAATAAGCAGCAAAATGAAGCCATTTATATCAATCGAATCCATCACAGATCAAAATATAAGAGACATCAATGTAATTGAAAGTTCAAACTTAAAATCATTCATAATAGTGCAAAAACAGAATAAATCCTAAGCCACTTTGACAAGTTTTGGAATTCGGTAAAATCACTGTCTGAGATCATTCTTTGGTACCATGCCTTGCCAGCAGCCTTGATTGCAGATGCCGCCAGTATGAAAAGTTTTCAAATTCGGTATAATCACTGTCTGAGATCATTCTTTGGTACCATGCCTTGCCAGCAGCCTTGATTGCAGATGCCGCCACTTTGAGAAGTTTTTAAATTCAGTATAATCACTGTCTGAGATCATTGTTTGGTACCATGCCTTGCCAGCAACCTTGATTGCAGATGCCTCCTCCTAGCCACAAGCCTTGATTGTAGATGCCTTCCCGGCAGCCTACTCTGACAGCCTAAGCCAGTTTGAGAAGTTCCCTCTCATTGTTTGCCAGCAACCTGCAAAATTATCCGGCACACCTGCAGCCATGTTAGCTTTTCTAAATAAAACACAAAAAAACAAAAGGTTTTTCAGGGCCAATTTGTTAAATGGAAAGTTGGGATGTCCGGGGAGTAAACTTTTCTCTCTTCACGAACCTAAGTTATGGAGTGCAAGATTGAAAAGTTCACTGAGTCCGTCTATTTTGGTAAAGCTCTGTATAAGCATGACACCTGCAACATCAGCACCACAACCCAAGTATCAACATCAACATCACATAAACTACAAAATTCAAAGTGCAAGTTCCAAACCTTTTGATTGGGTTGTGGTCACTCAAAATGGATCAATTTCTCCATGGAAGCACTCAACAGCCTAGCGCTCCCGAAAGATGGTCATTGTTTCGTCATTCAATCCGTCCATCGGGCTGTTGGTCATGTCTAACTGAATAAATTTCAGGGCATATGCCCCACAATCAGCACTGCAATAGCAAGATGACATTAGCATTAGAATCAGCTTATAGAACAATTGTATTATGTAAGTTTTATACAAAATTTACCTTGACTCATTTGTTGGGACAGGAACGCGCTTGAGTGGCCACTTTCCCGTCAATGCTTCATCATCGAGGTGCTCAAACATCCCGCTGTCATGTAATAGCCGCGGGAACAACACGGATAGTGGCTCCAACTCGGCCTCCAACTGTCTATCTCGACAAATTGTTGGATTGTAGTCAATGATCTTTAGCAACCGCTCCTCTCAGAGCGTGACGACTACTATCCAGTGTATTTCCTTGACCAGGATGATGTAGTAGACACTTTTAACCTTTGCCCAACTGTGGCCATATTTGGGCTTGTTCCCCATTACATACTGCATTATCTTGTCATCAAACTTAAAATCATTAGGGACGCAGTCCAAGTCTTCTGTGCCCGATCGTTTTCGCTTACCTCCTTTTACTACAGATGTACCAATGGCCTTTTTCAACAAATTGCGATATGTTGATACCAACGTTTGGCCAAAGGCCACATCGGTGATGGCACAATCGGGATACAATAGATCACCATTGCTGGTTTGTCACAGCCTCATCAGTGCCAATACCTCATTGATGTGTTGCATCAAATAAAAACAACATGATAAGTATACAATACCTCATGGAAAACATAAGCAAAAATAAGAAAAATTAAGCGAAAATAAATCACCGAGTCGTGAAGCCAGCTGCCCATCGTCAAAATCTTTTCAAACCAATCCCGAGAATAATCCCCGGTCTTACACTTTACAAGGGCATCACTTCCGGATTCATTGTAATAGGCATAGAAGGGTTTTTTCTTTTCCTCCTCTATTGGCCTATACAAATCGACAGTGGACTCCATTTTTGCTTGCCCACTTCCTCCCCCTTCCTCCATTTGTACGTCCTCTCTTCCTTCGCCTTCCGCCTCAACCTCCTCCATTGTAACTGCCCCACTTCCTCCAGCAACCTCTTTAACCCCCTCAATTTTGGCTTCTTCCTCAATTTGTTTCTTTGTTTTCCTCTTAATTCCACGTGTTAGTACGGTGTAAGGCGATTTCACAAACCTACTCGTTCGGCTCTCTCTTTTCAGCCCAGGTTGCACTTCAACCGCCTTCAATACTCCACCAACTTCCTCCTGCACCCTACCAACTTCTTCCTCCACCTTAACAACTTTCTCTGCCACCTTATCCACTTTCTCCTCTACCTTTTTCAACTGCTCTTCCATCTTATCAAACCTGCCATAAACAGCTGTTGTAAAACTATCAAAAAAACTGTTTATGAGGTCAACCACCTCACTTTCCCGACCCCGACACCTCGACAAAGTAGTACTTGTTGTACCGGTTTGCTAAGGCATACGAACCTCTTCTCCCTCCCCTCTTTTTCCCTCCTACCGATTGCGGCTTCATCCTCCTCGGCATCAACCACATTCTCAAGCAGTGGCCCCGCAATTGCCCTCACATGTGTGACCCCGTGTAGGTCCCATGTCAGGCGGTCTATCCCTTCATCCCTTTGATCCTTCAATGCTCGGAAAGATATGACATAGTGTTGTTGCGCTTCACCCCCAGTAGCGGTGAGGAAGGGACGGACAACCCCCTGCAATAAGAAACAAAATCAATCAGATTTAAGCGACATTTTAAAGCAAGTGCATATTCAAAAGCTTAATCCTTTAATCTTACCCGAGCTGATTGAATTTCAATCTCTATTTGCTCATAATCCCAATGGGTACACTTCTGGTCGTGCCACCGCAACATTCTAGGAAATGTCTGTTGCACAACCGAAGCCCTAATCCTCCCCCCGCCTTAGCTAGGACAAGGATGACCTCATACATTCAAGCCTACATTGTAAAAAAACAGTCCATATCATAATTCAAACACATATACTAAAAAATATATAACAAAAACCTATTAATATTTACCTGCATTGCCCATGGGAAGCCAAACAAATTGTACGTGGCCGCTCTATTCTTCTCGGCCCATTGGGAGTGCTTTAACGCCAAGTCTTTTGCTTGTAGGGACTCCATGGTTCGCTTAAATGATACCCATCCCCACAGATAAGCATTAAAGAAGTTCAAGTTGCTTACAAACTTCACCCAATCAACATCAACGGCTTTTGTTGAGTCACCAGCTATTAGGATAGAATGTAAGAACAATACCAAGCACAATTTGAACATCTCTGAATCGTTAAACTCACCATCTTTTAACTTGTCCTCTAATTCCTGTGCCTTAATAGACGTGTTCCCAGCCAAAACCTTGTTAGACAACCTTTTGGCTCCCGTACTGTCCTTTATTCTTGTTTCCTCAACCTCACCTGGTAATTCCCCACATCTTAAGCCAGTCACCAGCACATATTCCATCATCCCGAAACGTAGTGGCTTTCCATCCACTATGAACCACATTTCGTGCTTTTTGTTGCTTTTTATTGAGTGCAACAACATATAATGCACTCCCGATCCCCATAATGTCTTTTTCCATTTTGTGTCCATATCCCAAAAGTGACTGAAACAAGTCTCTTTGAATCTCCTTTCACCATTTCTCACTGTCCCTAAAATCCCCGTTATTCTCGTTAAAGCATCCCAACTTGACCTCACTGTCACCCTCACAGGGAAGTATGGTACCGTATCGCTTACATACTCCAATCTGTACTCTCTATAGTTTACGCTTCGGAAAATCTACACAATCGATATAAACAAAATATCAGCAAAAAAATTAAACCAAATCAAATATAAACAAAATACGCTCCAGAAGAATCGCTTAAGCAATGGGCAGATGATTCTGCCTCATACAAGATCTCTTAAGCGACGAATCGCTTAAGCGATTCGTCGATTTTACTCTTGGTCGCTTAAGCGATCTCTTCTAAAGCAGAATAAACATCTGCCCTGATATAAGATCGCTTAAGTGATCTTCTATATCTCTTAAGCGATTCGACGCTTTTACTCTTAAGCAATCTGAAATCGCTTAAGCGATACAAAGGATCGCTTAAGCGATTATAGATCTGGGCAGATTTGATTCTGCCTCGGAAGAGATCGCTTAAGCAATCTTAAGTCGCTTAAGCGATTACAGATCACTTAAGAGATCTTGTACAAGGCAGAATCAACATCTGCCAGATCTAAGATCGCTTAAACGATCGTTTATATTGCTTAAGCGATTCATCACTTTTACTCTTAAGTAATCGTAAATAGCTTAAGCGACCAAGAGTAAAAGCCATCAATCGCTTAAGCGATACAAAGGATCGCTTAAGCGATCTTAGGTCTCGGCAAGTACAAATACCTTTTCTTCGACGACCTCCTCATCCTCGCCTGAACTTTTGTCGGACTCCTCTTCCTAGCCTGAATTCTGCCCGGCCTCCTCTTCCTCTTCAAAACCGTTTTGCTCCTATTCTCTCTCTTGTTGTGCCGCCGTCGTCTCCGCCGCTGGAACACCTTCACTGATTGGAGGATCCACCGGAGCAGCCATTGAACTGCTTGCGCCGTCGGACTCTACGATTCGAAGAGGCGTTGGGTTTTCCTCCTCATTGTGAATGTCAGCCATGGTTTTCAGAAAGGAAGAAGCTTTAGGATTGAATTTGGGTGTGAAAATTTGTAGGAATGTGGAATGTTATTGTTGGAAAATGCACAGAATGCGTTTAGGTATTGAAGATATCGATTTTTATCTTAATTGGTTTCGATTAAGCGATTTGAATGGGTGGGGCTCTTTTTCAAATTTCAAATTTTAAAAACTATCATTAATTATGATTTTGTCCTTATATATTTTAATCTTTTCATTTTAACCTATTTTATATGTTTAATAGATCCTAACTATGTCACGTCAGCTTCTCTACATTAAAAAAAAAAAAATGAAAAACAGTTTCAAGGCCATTTTCTTAAATCGAAACTTGGGATGGCCGGTCAGCTAAATTCTCTCATTCGTTTCCTTTTCTGAGAGGATATCCTGTAAAACGCGTTGCGATCTCACCGACCCAAAACAATGGTGGTGCGTTTTATTCATGCGGAACTTAAATTTTGCTTTCATGTTTGGTTGATGAGTCTAAGTTCACGTTCTAATTCTCTGAATCTTCTTTCTGATTGTTGCAATTTATTAAATTCTTTCTTAATATTTGTTAGTAATGTTTATTGAATTAGGTTTTTTTATTATTGATTCTATTGAAAAAAAAAAAAAAAAAAACTAATTGAATATTGTGTAAATTATGATCCGAGGATTTGAATTTCTGCAATTGAATGACTCATTAGAGCTTGGTTTTTAAATAGTTTACGAAGCATATATTTAAGTTATTGTAGCTTCTGGAAGTTTTATGAGTTTGTTGGTTGTAAAAGCACGAATCAACCAAGTTTGTTGGTTGTAAAAGCACAAAGCAACTTAGTTGAGTTCTTTGTTATGTGTTATGGCCCTTTATAATGTACTCTTTAGACTTATGCTTTTGTTGGCCAGGAAGTTGTTTGTTTGGGTAGTTTTTTTTTTATGCTTGAACAGATGAACTTCCTTATTCTTGCGGTATTTTAGGGAAGCTTTATGTTCTATGATAGAATGTTTGTGGAGATTATACAACTAGTCAAATTTATGGAAGGAGATTTATCCTTGTGTACATTTTTATTTATTGGACATATGAAATATTTTCAGAATACTTTTATTTATCAATTTGATGGCTTACTTTAGTCTTACTGTCCGAATGCCAGTAAAGTTGGATCTTATTCTTTTAAATTTTTATATTGTTTTATTTTGATAAATTTCCGATTACTATCCCAGGCAAGTCTTTATAGAGGGGCATCTAGGAAAGAAAAACTAAGAGGCCGTCATCATGGATTAACACAGCAGAAGAAGCAAGAGATTAAGGAAGCATTTGAGCTATTTGACACGGATGGCTCAGGTATGTGATAACTTATTATTCTATGTCTTTCATAAATATGTTTGAAACTGATTATGATTGTTTTGTCCAGGCACTATTGATGCCAAAGAGCTGAATGTTGCCATGAGGTGTGTATATACTATATAACATATGCTTAGAATTTTTAAAGCTGATTAATCATCAAGTAGTAGAACTAAAATTTTCTCATGGCAGGGCTCTTGGTTTTGAGATGACTGAAGAGGTAATTTCTATATCATAAATTATTTTCTGTTTTAACTGTTCATCTTCCCAATTAGACCTCTGTTCCTCCTAGCACGGCAGTAATGGTGGAGATTTGTCCTTGTGTTTAGAATTGTAGCCTACAGACTTCTTGCTTGACTGACATATTATTCTTCTGTGCCATTACAGCAAATCAATCAAATGATTGCAGATGTTGACAAGGATGGAAGTGGTGCAATAGATTTTGATGAATTTGTGCATATGATGACAGCTAAAATTGGTGAAAGAGACTCTAAGGAAGAGCTCATGAAAGCATTCCAGATCATTGACAAGATAACAATGTAAATTTCTGTTAGTTTAGACCTTGAGTTTCCTACTTTGTATATAATTACTGATTCTTCAATGTGGCATGCAGGGAAAGATATCAGTTGAAGACATTAAGGGAATTGCAAAGGATCTGGGTGAGAACTTCACTGAACGAGAGATAAAGGAGATGGTTGAGGAAGCAGACAAAGACCGTAAGTTAGCCTCCATTTTTTAACCATTACTTCTGTGATTTTTGCTTTCAACTTTATCTTAAATGACCTGGCTCATTAAGATTGTTTACTTCTTAATTTTTAGCCAAACACACATGTAAGGTTTCCTTTTAATCTATTTAATGTGCTCTTAAGATTCTTATTTAACTTTGTGTAATCTGGCCATTTAAGAAGAGTTGCCTCTGGGTCAGATCGAAGGGACATGTATGAGTATATATATATATATATATATTGGTGCCATTTAAGAAGAGTTGCCTCTGGGTCAGATCAAAGGGACATGACATGATACTCATATATATGTGACAATTTAATACCTGATTTACAATTTTTGGTTACCATTCTGTTTCTGAAAGTTTGACTTGTCGGCTGATGCAGTTAGATAAACAGTTGGTGAAGTATTGTTAGTGTGAGGCAATTTCGGAAAGACCATTAGCTGTGATGGTTAAATATAATATATCAACCCTTTCAATTTATTTATTACAAATTGAGTCATGCTAGGGTCATAACATGAAGATTGATGTAAAAGTTATTTTATCAATATTTCCTTTTTTTTTTTTTTTTGTCCAATAGCATTTAGATTTTGAAATTTTTGCTAAAGTATGATTCGGACCTAGATTGATCTGTTCTTTTTCTTCTTTTTTACTATAACAATTTTTCTCTGTGATAATAGAAAGGATGGAGAAGGGATTAAAATTTGAGAATATTAGTCTACACATCTCCAGTCTTCTCTTATGTCTTTTCCCCCTATTTTTCCTCTCAGTCTCCCTCTCAGTCTCACCCTCTTCTATCTTCTGGTTAAACATTGCATTTTTAGATCTTGCAAATACAAGTGTTTTGATTCTTATTGCCATCGAGATCCATCTGATTGTCGATTTCTGATACAACTGTCTTTTTCTGCTATTTAACACCAGCAGTAACATACTTGTTGAACTACAGTATGGTTTAGCCTGATTACTTAATAGTTTGGTTGTCTAAAGGTGCATTTGCAGTGTTTTTGGTACTGCCTAAAGTGCTTCTAGATATCAAAAGCACTTTTATGCTTATTTTGTAGTTTTTGGCTGCAAGAGACGAAAACACTTTTTTGAAGCAATAATGCTAAATGTACATAGTTGGGATCCCAATTTTGTATCTCAAACCATGTGGCAATTGGTTTGGCAACATCTTTATAATTCTAGGATGATGAGATAAGTCAATTAACTTGCCAAATCAACTATCATACAGGTCGGGATACAAAGTTGTGATCCCAAAGTGTTATCCTTTTTTAAACTAAAGAAGTTATTACTTGCACTACTTCATGAGGATAGAGAAAAACTTGAAAGTGTCTTAAGAAGCTGTTAGACCTCCCATACACAAGGTCTATGAGTCCAAGGGCAGGGGAAGGAAGAGGTGCAAGGGTGCAGTAAGTGTGAGTCTAGTAGGGGATGATGAGGTGTGCAAGGAGGGTGGTTAGTGCATGGGGAAGTCTGTTATGAAAAGGGACACGTGCAGGGGAAGGTGGTTATGGAAATGGGCACCTAGCTGTCAATTAGTTAAGGGACTGAATAAGGGCTTATAAAAAGAAGGAAGTGAGGGAGGCAGGGATATCGAAAATATTATTCATAGGCCTGTTTGGGAGGCCCCCAGCTCCTCGAACTACTGGGAATCTGCTTGTTATTTCTATTGCTTTGTTTATGTTATCTTAGTTCCAATTAATATAATCTGCCATTTCCTCCGCTTTTCGTGCATATTCTTTGGCTGTGTGTTGTGTGTGTGTTGCTGTGGTTCACTGATTGCAGGGAGTTCCATCAGATTGGTATCAAAGCCAAGTTGCCAACAGATTTCACGCTGGGGAATGGTCAAATCAAAAATGGATAACAGGATGGATAATATGGAAAAAGAGATGAAATCAGTACAAGAAGATATGAGTTCAGTTAAGACTGATGTGGGTAGTCTTAAAGAATACTTGACCAAGATGAGAGAATTGTTGAGGTTGAGAGACGAGAAGGAGGAGAAACGTTACCGTGAAAAAGAGAAATCTCAGTTATCGTCCTAGAATACAGGTTTCGGTGGTGGCCGTGAACGAGAACAAGACACAATCGGGAACAGTGGGAAGGAGGACAAAAAAACCCGGAAGCTAGAGCTTCCAATTTTCAGTGGAGAGGACCCTTTTGGATGGACTTTTCACGCCGATCGTTACTTTGCTATCAACAAATATGGACCATCGGAGATGGTGGAGGCAGCGGCTGTTTGCATGGAGGGTAGGGCGCTAAATTGGTACCAGTGGGTAGAAGGACGAGATCCTTTCAAGACATGGGAAGAGCTCAAGGCTGCTCTAATCACAAGATTCCGGCCGTCGTTCCAAGGGTCTGCACACGAGGTGTGGTGGTGCTGAAATAAAACTCCACCGTGACTGAATACAGGAAAGATTTTGAAGCCCTTACAGCACCGTTGAAAGATTTGGGAGAGGAATTGTTAATGGGGGTTTTCATCCATGGGCTTAGGGAAGAAATTAGAGCTGAGTTGAGAGTGTTGAGGCCCAGCTCCCTCTAAGAAGTTATTGTACAGGCCCACCGTGTGGAGGAAAAAAATTGGGTAATGGAAAAATGGAGGCCCAAAACATTTAGAACCCAAGTCACCAGGGAGAATTATGCAAGGGTGTCCAGCAGCCCAGATCCAAATCGACATGCATGGTGGTCATATCCACTAACATGGACCCGACCTGACCCGCCTGGTGGCCCAACTCAACAAAACCACCCAAAGCAAGTCAGGTCACGTCATCTCGCGATTCTTGCACACCCGATAGACGAGAAAGGGCACCGAAAATGGGAATGAGAAGCTTCCGAGAAGGATCGGGAGGCAATTTCTAGCGGTTAACTGAAGTCGAGATCCAAAGTAAACGAGAAAGGGGACTTTGCTTCCGATGTGATGAAAAATTTGGCCCTAATCATCGCTGTCGAAGTAAGTCACTGTAGATCCTATTGGCTTTGGAGGACGATGGTGATGAGAAAGTCGAAAACCCACCGGAAAATGACAATAATCCTAACCCGGATGGTGATAACTTAGAGGGTGTTTGTCTAAGCTTATAAACTGGTCAAACTAGCTTATAAGTTCTAAAATTAAGCTGACCTGTTTGTTTATATCTTTTTTGAGCTTATAAGTTGAACTTATAAGTAAAAAAAAATAAGTTGGGGGGGAGGTACTTTTTTTTTTTTGCTTATAAGCACTCTGCTTATAAGTTAGTTTGACCAAATATATTACCACATTATCCTTGTTTAATTTTAAAATTCCATAGTATACCCTTATTTAATGTAGTACCTTTTTTTGTTATTTTATAATAAAATGTACTTATAAGCCACATTTTACTAAACACGTCAACTACTTATCAGTCACTTATAAGTACTTTAACCAAACACGTAATTGCTTAAAATTTCAAATGCTTATAAGCTAAAATTAGCTTATAAGCACTTGTTGCTTATAAGCTAATTTTCATAAGCTTAGACAAACACCCCCTTAGCGTTGTCCATGAACTCCATCGTGGGGATAACATCAGATCACACTTTGAAGGTAAAGGGGCAAATTGGGAATGCTGAAGTTGTGGTGTTGGTTGACAGTGGGGCATCCCACAACTTTATTTCACAGGATTTAGTAGAGAGGTTCGGAATTACAGTGGAAAAAGGGAAACGATTTGGGGTGATGGTAGGAAATGGAGTCACGGTAAAAGGGGAAGGGGTGTGCCGACAGATCCATCTGGATGTGCAAGGAATTCAGATTAGGTAGGATTTTTTCCTTTCAGTTGGGGGGTGTCGACGTGATTTTGGGCATTACGTGGTTGAGTTCCTTAGGGGACGTTTGTGCCAATTGGAAGAAGTTGACCATGAGGTTTGAATTGGATGGGGTCAGGGTCAGTTTACAAGGGGATCCGTCTCTGGTAAAGTCAGGTGTCTCCCTGAAGTCAATGTTACGGTCCATCAATAGCACTGGGGGAGGGTTTCTGGTGGAATGTTTTTCAATTGAAAGGAAGCCAATTCACCCAGACGAAGACATCAGTCTGCAAGTTCAGGCAGTTTTGGATGAGTATCGGCACCTTTTCGACCAACCCTCCAAACTTCCTCCACACCGACCCCATGACCATGCCATAAACCTTATAGAAGGCGCCCAAGCCCCTAACATTAGACCCTATAGGTACCCATATTTTCAGAAAAATGAAATTGAAAAATTGGTGGAGGAAATGTTAGCGGCGCATATCATCCAACCGAGTACCAGTCTGTTTGCCAGCCCGGTGTTGTTAGTTAAGAAAAAAGATGGAAGCTGGAGGTTTTGTGTGGATTACAGGGCCCTCAATGAGATAACAGTCCCCGACAAATTCCCAATCCCTACCATCGAAGAACTGTTGGATGAATTGGCAGGGGCAACAATCTTTTCTAAGTTGGACCTTCGATCAGGGTACCATCAGATTAGGATCAAAGACGAAGACATTCCCAAAAAAGCTTTTCGAACACATGAGGGCCATTACGAGTTCTTGGTGATGTCGTTCGGATTGACCAACGCTCCTTCAACATTTCAGTCACTTATGAACAGTATTTTTAAACAGGTTTTGCGTAAGTTCGTATTGGTTTTCTTTGACGATATTTTGATATACAGTATTAACTTGGAAGCCACACTCAACACCTTCGGCAAGCCCTTCAAATTTTGGGTGACAATGACCTGGTTGTGAATTTGAAAAAGTATTCATTCGGACAGCAGAGACTGGAATACCTAGGGCACTTAATTTTAGCACATGGGGTGGAGGCAGACCCCCAAAAAATTGCTGCTATGGTTTCCTAGTCCACACCCACCAATGCGAAAAGTCTCCGCGGATTTTTGGGTTTAACGGGGTATTATCGCAGATTTGTTAAAGGATATGGCAGCATCGCCCAACCACTCACGCGACTCCTGAAGAAAAACTATTTTAATTGGGATCAAGCGGCTCAGCAGGCCTTTCACGCCTTAAAGGAGGCTATGACATCAGTTCCAGTGCTGGCAGCCCTGGATTTCAACCTTCCATTCGAGATCCACACAGATGCCTCAGGCCAAGGTATGGGAGCTGTGCTAGTTCAACACAAACGACCCATAGCATACCTAAGTAAGGCTTTTTCCTTTCAAGCTAAACAAAAATCGGTCTATGAAAGAGAATTAATGGTTGTTGTTTTCACTGTACACAAATGGAGTCCTTATTTATTGGGCAGAAAGTTTATCATTCGAACAGATCAGAGAAGCCTTCAATTCCTCAAGGATCAGGGGATTAAGACATCGAAACAGCAGAAATGGTTGTCCAAATTGATGGGGTATTCATTTGACATTCAGTATTTGCCGGGCACCACAAATAAGGTCGCGGATGCACTATCCTGTCTAGATGAGAACCCAGAATTATCCTCCTTATCAAAGATTCAGTTTCCGAAGTATGAGGACTTGGCAAACAAAGCCCACCAGGATCCCAAGCTGAGGCAGTTGATTCAAGCGTTGATTTTGGACCCTAACAGCCGACCACACTATAAAATCCACCATGGGTGTCTCCTGTACAAAGACAGGTTAGTTTTGCCTAGAGATTCTCGGTTTGTTCAAAAGCTACTAACTGAATTCCATTCCAGTCCGTCAAGAGGCCATTCCGGATTTTTTCGGACATACAAAAGTGTGGCCAATGTGGCTTATTGGGCAGGTATGAAGAAGGATGTCCAGGATTTTGTAAAAAACTGCACCATTTGCCAAGTTAATAAACACTCAGCTTTGAAACTCGTAGGGCTACTTCAGCCACTTCTTATTCCCGCTCAGGCATTTGATGACTTGACAATGGATTTCATCGGAGGCCTCTCAAGAACCAAGGGGTTTGATAGCATCCTGGTTGTAGTGGACTGTTTGACTAAATACGGCCACTTTCTACTTCTGTCACACCCTTATACCGCCAAGGAGGTAGCCTTAGTTTTCCTAAAAGAAATAGTGAAGCTTTATGGTTTTCCTCAGACCATCATTTCAGACAGGGACAGATTATTTATGAGTCACTTTTGGCAGGAGATTTTCAGAATATTAGGGACAGCTCTGAAATTCAGCTCTGCTTACCACCCTCAAACGGATGGCCAAAGCGAGGTGGTGAATAGGTGTCTAGAGGCGTACCTCCGCTGTTTCTACAGCTCACAGCCCCGTCAATGGCCAAACTGGCTATCATGGGCTGAATTTTGGTACAACACGACGTACCATCGCTCCACTAAGATGACCCCTTTTAAAGCATTGTACGGCCGAGACCTTCCGACTCTCCTTAAGCTCACCGATTACCCCTCTTCGGTCGATGAAGTAAACTAGCAGATCCGTGAACGCAATGCCATCCTTCGAGACCTTAAACATTACTTAGAAGTAGCACAAGCTCATATGAAAGCCCAAGCAGACCGCCACCGAAGGGACATCCAGTTCTCTCCAGGAGATTATGTTTATCTCCGGGTTCAGCCCTACAAGTTTAAATCTCTCGCCAAACGATTGAATGAAAAACTGAGTCCCGAGTCTTATGGGCCCTTCCGCGTCGTCGAGAGGATTGGTCAGGTGGCATTCAAGTTAGAACTGCTGGGGAATCTGCTTGTTATTTCTATTGCTCTGTTTATGTTATCTTAGTTCCAATTAATATAATCTGCCATTTCCTTCTCTTTTCGTGCATATTCTTTGGCTGTGTGTTGCTGTGGTTCACTGATTGCAGGGAGTTCCATCAGAAGCCATGTGCCCTTTTGTAAACAAGTTTGGTATTTTTAAGAAGCATAGGAGGTACTATAGAGCAAAAGCAGTTCCTATCAAGCCTTCCTAAATGCACTCATAGAGAGTCTCTAGTTGGAAATCCTTAAGTTGTGGCCAGTTAAAGCCAGAGGCCTCACTGGTGCCGTGACTCATTCACTTGAATAATATCTAAATGTGATGCTGGTTCATAGTTTGGGAATTGTTGGCCAAAGCCTTCTCAACCATTTGGTACTGGAAATTATGTGTGTTCTGTGGGCTCTCTAGCTATCTCAATTGGTGCAAAAATTCTGGACTGGCTGTACAAACATGTTTTCTTTCATTTTCATCACAAAACAAATTTCGCTGCTGCAATTTTTTGATCATTGTTTTTCATTTTATTACCAAGTCTTATGAATTTTGAAATATCTATGTGGTCGTAGTAGTAAATTGCTTACTATGGATGTGATTTTGTTGAAATATGTAGATGATGGAAAAGGGAGTGTTGATGCGTTTATGAGGATGATGAGGAGAACTACATACGGGTACTAGAGCCTCTGCAGAATGTTGGAGAAAGAATTGTGCCGTAGATAGCAAAAGCAATGGGTAAGAAGACAGCTTCAAAGTTCAAATCTCTAGTTCAATGGCATTATGTATCTCCTTTTTCTCTTCTACCTCATTTCTCTACAACTCCTTTACATCTATTTTTATCATCAAAACACTCACAACAATCCACAAATAACTTTTCTCTCAATTTTATTCCGCTGTTGAAACACTGCCGCACTATTCAACACTTGAAGCCTTTGAAATCTCTCCTCATCGTCCACGGCCTTACAAAAAACAAACTTTTACTTGGAGATTTTTTCAAATCTTGTTTTCATCTGGGTGCTCCAGGTCTAGCTCTCTCTACATTTCAAACCATTAAACAGCCATGCATGTTCTTGCAGAATTTAATGGTCAGAAATCTTTGCAATTATGGGCTATATGAAGATTTGTTATGTCTCTACATGAAGTGCCGAGTTTCGGGTTGCTCATCTGATGATTTCACATTTCCTTTTGTGATTAAAGCATGTTCGTCTTCAAGGGCACTTGGGATTGGAAGAGAGATTCATTGTGTTGTCTTGAGAACAGGGTATGACAAAAATCTTGTTATACAAACAGCTTTAGTTGATTTCTATGAAAAAATGGCGATATGGAGGCTGCACGTGTATTGATTGATAGAATTCCACAACCAGATTTGGTGTCATGGAATGCTTTGATTGCTGGTTATTCCTTAAACGGGCTTCATCAAGAAGCATTTGAGACTTTCAGGCGGGCCCTGGAAACGGGTTTGGAGCCTAATGTGAGCACTTTGGCAAGTGTAATTCCCGTGTGCACCCGTTTGGGTTTGTTTCATATTGGTAAATCTCTTCATGGCTTTATCGTCAAATCTGGATATATGTGTGATTTGTTTTTGGAGCCTACTTTGATTTCAATGTATACCGGTGATTTTGATTTATCTACTGCTAGAAAATTGTTTGATTCTGTGGTGGAAAAAAATGTTACTGTTTGGAATGCCTTGATACCTGCTTATACACAAAGCAAAAAGTTTTTTGAAGCTTTTGAGATGTTCAGGGGAATGGTCCGGGCACAACTGAAGCTTGATTTGGTCACTTTTGTTTCCATTATTCCATCATATGAGGGTTATAGTTGCATTGATTATGGTGAATCCCTTCATGCTTGTGCAGTAAAGCATGGATTAGAAAATCAGCTTTCTGTGTCAACAGCGTTCTTATCAATGTATGCGAAGTTTGGAAATCTTGATTCGGCCAAGTTCTTATTTGATCAGGTCCCGATTAGAAACCTGTTGTCATATAATGCAATGATTTCTGGGTGCGTGAGTAATGGGCTATGGGATGCAAGTTTAGCTGTATTTCGTGAAATGAAGATTGAAGGGTTCAACCCGGACGCAGTCTCCCTTATCAGTGTCATTTCAGCTTGCTCCAAACTAGAGGTCATTTTGCTGGGTAAATCTGTCCATGCATTTAGTCTAAGAAATGGTTTACACTCAAACATTGATGTTTCAAATGCACTCCTGATGTTTTACTCTGATTGTGATCAACTATCCTATTCTTTTAAGCTATTTCATAGAATGCCTGTGAGAAATTTGGTGTCATAGAATACTTTAATATCTGGATGCATACATTATTTTGTTTAAACCCACTCTTTAATTTATATTTAAAGAATAAAGAGTCTGTTAGACTTTTATTTTTATGGATAAATTTTTTATAATAAAGAGTTTTTGAGCCGGTCCACGAAATGAAAAAACACAAATTTTAACGCATTGAACTACTAATTTTTTTTGTCTTTTTAACATCCTTAAACGTGCGATAACCTTCTTTTATTTCTATTCAAATGTCAAATAGAACCCATTTAATAAAATATCGTGTAACATGACAGTTTGGGAGATTTTGTTACAGGAATTTTGTTTTGCACAATGGTGTTGCAAATCATAGTACTTCACATGGAGTTAAATCCAGTTAATCACTTCGGAGGAGATCATTTAGCAATTTGCTGCTAAAGAAGCAAGAGACATTGACGTAGTCATAGTGTGAAAAAAAGAAAAACCCAATCATTGAATATTTCAGAGGAGACGATAGTTTATGGTGGCGTACAGTGTGAAATTAGGGTATGAAAGGATTATTTGTCGATAATTTGAGATTGTGTTGATACAGCATGAGAATGAACCAAGAAGCATGGATATAGTGGAAGGGGCGGTGAAGAATGCGGCGGGGCGTGAAACAATCGATCTGCCGAGTGGAGGTGGACAGGGCAACCAGCTAACCTGAAGTTGCCATAAAGGGAGGGCTTTTCTTCGACGAAAGTATCAGTCATTGGTTAGAAGGACGACAATGGTTACGGTCATGGCCGACGGATAAACGGTCAACAATTTATCTAATTACACAATATGATATTTGTGTTCCGTGCTAGTGCCACCACACAATTTAGTCAACACTGTTTCAAAACACTGTTTTTTGTTGTACATGTCGGGCCCTTCAATCCAGCTCATCTTTGGAATAATAGATGCTTGTTTGAACTATTCATATTCAAATTTATATGAATAATAGATCAAAATATTATTATTATCACTACTTTTAATTTCAAAATTTTATTTTAGAAAGTGATAGGTAGTCCCAAAGTATAAATCCAAGAATTCAACGAAAGAAACAAACTTCTTTGACCGTCAGACCGATCATTTAAAGTTACTTAATTTGATATTTATTAAACACTTTAAGTGATAATTACTTTGTTTTATAACAAAAAGACACAACTTGATTATATTTCTTTTTGTGGTCAACTAATATGTAAAAGTTTATCATTATCAATATACATATAATATATACAAAATTATAAGTTCTGTATTTCAAATAAATATTATATAAGTTACATACATCTATATTAAAATTGGCTGATGGACTTAGTACTTGCATGGTTTTAAAACACGGCTCCGCCCGTTGAATCGGTTCGATCGAGAAATGATGGCTAAATCGGGTTGGTTCATGTTAAAAACTGGAAATAGCAATTGACCAGCTTCCACCCGTGGTTGAACCAATTTTTTTCCAATGAACCACCGGTCCAACCGGTATAACCCAAGTTTGCTACATTAAAATATTAAAAATTAAAAATAATAAAATTAAAAGTAACCATTTTCAGCTTTTCTCTTCTCCCTTCCCTATTTTTATTGGACAAAACCAACACCAACAGAGAAGAAAAATTAAAAAAAACCCATTAAAAATTAAAAATTGCATTTTTTTTTAATTTTTTGTTTTTTTGTTGACATCATGAATGGCGTCATGGTCCGACCTACCGGTCGGACCTTTCGACCCGTAAAACTCATGACCCAATAGCTTGGTCGGGTTGCCTCTGGGTCGGGTTTTAAAACTTTGCTTAATAGAATATGTTTACATGCATTTAATTTGAATTTGATTAATTAATCACGCGTTATAATGACATAATGTAGTATATAGACAAAAATGTGTCTTGTAAGGGTATCTCCAACCCTGCGTTAATGCAAATTTCAACTCCAACCCAATGCTATTTTTTTCCCTTATCCGAAAGCATGTGTGGACAAAGTCAATAGATGAACAATTCATATCGTGTGATTCTAGAATCACTACAAGAAAACTGAATTCCTGCGTCTAGCAAAATTAGACGCAGAAAGTCACATTTAGACGCTAAACATTTTTAGCGTCTAAATTCGGTAGTCACCCCCTTATTTGCAGTAGGCTGGTCGCAGATTCATAGCACGTCTATATTGTGGTTTAGACGCAAAAAGTTTTTTTTTTTGCGACTATCAAAATAGTCGGCAAATGTTGTTCAAAATAGTCCCCCAACTTAGACACTAAAAGTTGAAAGGTAATTTGGTAAAATTATATAGCGACTAATCAATTAGTTGCAAAATGTCGGTTTTAGTGTCTAATAATTTGTCGCGAATCCCACGCAAATTAGTCGCCAAAGGTGTAAGGGTAATTTCGTCAAAGGCTTTCGCAACTATTTTATTAGTCGACGAATGTATCTTTTTGTGACCAAAATTTAGTGGCTACTTGTAACTCTTTTAGACGCTGAATGTAGAATCCAAACGGTTTTCGCAACTATTTTATTAGTGGCTGAATATATTTTTTGGTGACCAAAATTTAGTAGTTAATTATAGTCATTTTAGACGTTGAATGTGGAATCTAATAGGTTTTTGTGACTATTTTATTAGTGGCCGAATTTATCTTTTAGTGACAAAAATTTAGTGGTTAATTGTAATCATTTTAGACGCTGAATGTGAAATCTGAAATGTTATCGCGACTATTTTTTAGATGCTGAATATGGAAACAATTATACTAAATTACTTTTTGCTACTAAAACATTAGTTGCAGAATGTGTTTTTTTAGAGCATTTCATATTGACCTTAGCGATGTGCAAAATGCCTAAATGACTTTTGCTACTAAAATATTAGTTGCAGAATGTTTTTTTTTTAGAGCATTTCGTATTGACCTACATTATACATTCAACATGAACAAAATAATGGACACAATATTAAAATTTGATCACTAAATCAAAAATCATATTTATCATATATATGTAGTCAATACATGGATTTTTATGCATGATGAGCAATAAAAATCAAAATGCACTATCACAGTGCATAACCCAAAAGAAACACATGCACCCACATTATCCTTTTTTACCTATATCTGGGCATAACTAACAAAAAAATGCCCACCATGTACACCATCTAACACTATATGCAAACAATCCTAAAAAGATGGTTTACCCCCATGTCAAAATATCTATTGTCCATACACACAAAAATAACCATCAATACCGTTAGCACGTCAAGTGTCACTAGTTCCGGTATTTGAAATAGCTGTAGTGATGAGGACGAGTCTTCATCGTTCGAGAAGGCAAGTGTGTCGCGTTGGAGCTTTATCAGATTTCTCTAGTTCAAGGGCTATAGTTAGCTGCTTCATCATCTCTAACAGACCAATTGTGGTGTTCAAGGCTTTTTATTTTCTCTTTTGGATCAAAAGATTAGAGGGTCCTCCAACTGTTTAACTCTATCCATTGTGACTTCTAGGTTCACAAAACATAAATTCAGTATCATAAATATATTCTATCACAAAGACAATACTCAAAATTAAACCACATTCTCATGCCAAAATATAGTACTAGTGATAATGTAAATGGGTCTAAACGATCAATCATTAATAAATATCAATTTACGTAACTTATAACTTTTTGTTATGGTTGTAGTAGCTGTGGTGCCCGCAGTCTTCTTAGCCTCGGTCTTCAAGTCAACTTTAAGATCTCAAAAACCTTTTACAACAAAATAATTAGGTTTTAATTTATAATTTATCAAGAATATGTCATTTTTTTTATATGAAAAGAAATAACACACTCTAAATTATTAATGTAGGAGGTCTCTCTTTGGTACCTAATTAAATACATATAAAAAACGTCAACTCTCCGTAGAAGTCAATGGAGACAAGAGGGCTATGGAGGCAAGCAATAAAAAGAAAAAGAATATGAACTGGCTAATTAATTAAAGAGATTAGGTAAGAATTACAAGGAGTTTAACAAGTAACACCATGATTAGACATTATAAAGTCTTAAATGATAGAATCAGACTTGTAGAACAGTAGGAAAAAGCAAGCTTTACAACTTTAATTATTTTTTTCTTGAGCATGCCTTATCCTCACAATCTTATAGATATTAAAAATTAATATATACATAAACAAACTTTGTTATTCACTTTTTATAAGAATTATTTAAAATTAAGAATTGTTGTAACTGATTATTCATCAATTACCATACTAATTAAAGCCTTCTATTACTTTTACTTGCCCAAAGCACTTAACAAATTTTTACTTGCCCAAAGCACTTAATAAATGTATATGTGTAGTTCTCAGCTCGGAAACAATATTTAATTTTAGAAGAAATTAAAGGTATTAGATATAGCTAACTTATACCAGGACTTACTTCAAAGTTAAATAAGCAAAAAGCATAACATCCGAAGATGAAATGTAGCATAAGGCCGCACAATTGAATGGATGCATTTAATAGTAAGGGTATCCAAACCAAATTAATTTCACTTTATGGATCTCTTACAAGAAACAGATGGGATGAAGAGCAAAAGACAACCCCTTTGAATGTTCTTTAAGTTATAAAATGAAGCTTCCGTTTATCATAATCTAGACACAGCATGCATAAAAGTCTATAGCAAGTAATTTAGTTCACTTGTTTGATCTTACTTTACTCTAATTTCACTCTATCATATTTATTAAAGATCTTCTATCGCGAAAGAGGAGGTCATTCAGTACGAAACAAAGCGAAGTGAATGAGATGAAGAACTAATGAGGCGACCAAACCAAAAGTATTGTCTGAGCCCTGTACAAGTGGCATCCCTTGCACCACCGCATGTCTTTCGGTAATTTCAAGAGCATCTGTGTCAAAATGGATTGAAGCTCCATTCCAATAGCTAAGATTATTGCAACCAATTAAGTATTCAGAATTTCAACTCTTCCAGTAAGTCAAGATGATAGGTTGCAGAGAATAAATTCTTACAATCACAGGGATTAAGGATGCCCACAATAATGCTTGCCATCCTGAAAAGGAAAATAAATATGTTAA